GGGTATAGGGTTTAGGGTTAAGGTTATGGGGTTTAAGGTATAGGGTTGAGGATTTAGGGTTAAGGGTTTAGGGTTTGGGGCTTGGGGCTTAGGGTTACGAGTTTGGAGGTTAAGGATTTAGCTGTCAGGGTTTTAGCTTTAGGGCTCTGGAGGGAGGGAATGTTGCACCACCCTATAGACCTTATACACTAGGACCTTGTTGCAGCATTTTGGGGTCGCAAGTGGTGGATGGTTTTCTCCATCCACTGTATGTCTATGTACTCGTACGCAGGGATTGCGTCGGTTTTGTGGGGATCATGTCGGAAGCTCCGTGGGTGATGGGTTGGAGGGGGATCAGAGGCATTGGTGATCGCAGCAAGCGCAAATGCCATGAGCATCGCACCCCGGACCCATGCAATCTGCTGTAGCAAAATGGAGTCTAGGGCTTCGGGATCTTGTTTTGAGGCAGTTCCTCAAGGGCAGTGACACTTTGAGACAGTTTTCACGACAAGGACTACGGTGCTAGGAGGTATGTAGCAGGATCCAAATTTTGAGAAGGGCCCATACTTTGCTTTCAGAAGCCGCTGTTGATGATCAAGCGCAGCTATGAAATGCTTCTAAACCGCGAAGACATGAAGCCAGGAAACTCTTAACCTCAAGCCTTCACTGTCTATCAGTATCTCGTCAAAAAGTCTTTCCCGAAACATTTAGTAAAAGACGATCTAGGTGTGCGTGGCCCACAGCTTGATAGATAAATGCAAAGCCATCTGGTTCTGTGTCCCTTGCCAATTCGACGTGAAAGCACGCTAGGCCACCACTTTGTTCATTGGTGTTGCATGTTTGTCGGGAGGTTCACACCCCCAGAGTCATTGGCAGATGGCCAGAATATGCCCACTTTTTAGGTTTCCAGGTAGTCTGGCATTGCCATATTTGGCACAGATATTGGTGAGCCCGGCTCAGGTGTAAGTAGGTACCAAGTCCCATGGACCTCCTTGTAACTCCAAACACTATGACTTACCGTTCTTGAAATGTTCATCATCCGCCTACCCTCCAAATCCGGCTGTGGCTTATCACTTTTCTACAAGACTAGCACTTCAACAAGTTTGTGGTTCCTCTTTGTCATATTGAGCCTCCAAACCACTGAAACCCATGTTACGTGCGGCCTTCTACCCAGTAATAGCGGTACCATTAGCCCTTGTGGTCACTACTAGTGGGTGGGAGCTTAACATTACTGACATCACCTTAATCTTAGTGTGCATGGGGGAAAGCTTTGCTTGACGAAGGCCACCCATACTATAGGGTTTACGGTGCAGGGTTTAGGGTGTAGGGCTTCAGAATGGGGGTTTAGGGCAACTAATCCTAAACCCTAAACGCTAAGACTTGGAACCCTAAACCCTAAACTCTGATCCCTGTGCAGAATCTTCTCCATCACGAGACTCTTCAGCTTGTTGCCCAAAACGCACAACTCCTCAGGTTCAGAAAGCTTAGGGCTTAGGGTTTAGGATTTTGGGTGTAGGGTCTAGGATTTTGGGTTTAGGGTATATGGTTTAGGGTTTACCTCGATCTTAACATCCCAGAAAGCTGGATAAATTTAATCTCAGTTAACGTCCGAACTAGGCCTTGAATCCTAAACCATTACGCCTTAAACACCTGGAGCCAGGTTGGTAAATAGGTGCTCATGAGCTTCTGTGTAAAGCATATTCCGTTCCATTTCCATTTGATGCACCACTATTGACGTAGTACCCTGCTCTGAAAACTATAGGCTGCATATGTAATCCCTACATATACCCTATAACCTAAACCCCAACCCCCAAAATGATAGCCAGGCTAGTGCCCCTGCTGAATTTCATAGCCGGGCCGATGTGGAAACAGCTTTTCGGCCATTCAGCAGATCTTCTGAAAGGCTGGCAACTTCTTGGGGGCTTACGGTTTACCGCTAGAGTCTTCCTGAAGTTGTTTTGTTTTTTGGCTGAGTACAAGACCCCACTGCACAGCTACAGTAATCCGTGTACGAGAAAGTTCAAGCTTCGATGTCATTTAGGGTTCAGGGTTCCAAGTGTAGAGGTGGTGAGCGTGCAATGCAGGAATGGAAAAAAGGGGATTATAATTATGATGGATTTTAGGTGGACTATGTTCAGGAGCCAGTCACCCATTCCCCCATCAGTCAGGTTTCTCTCCCGGCTTGAACTGGAAGGTCCAAGAAAGGCCATGTATTCGGCTTACTGTCGTTAAGCAAGGGCTGAAAGTGAGTTCCGACATTTTTTGGGGAGGGGGCAAAGTTTGGGTTGCAGCGCTGTATATACATATGATGTATATACTTATCTACTGGTGTGAGCCCATTAGTTGGGTGGTATGAGGACATGTTTGCGTTTAGATTTCTGGCTTGAAGAAGAAGTTGAAGTCAAGAGATGCGACTTGTGGCGTCAGATATTCCTTAGAGAGCTGCAGTTTACGGCGTGGAGCTTGGAGTTCAGCAGTTGGGCTTAAACCCAATTCACTGGGTTTTGCCGCTCAGGCGTTTAGAGTGACTTCGGCTTTTTCCATTTTGTGTTTGAGGTCTAGCATGCCTAAACCCTAGACATTAAACCCTGAAACCCTAAACTCTAAACCCTGGCAGCAGAGGGAAGCCTGGACAGATGCCCGCTATGAGCTCTCGATGAAGGGATTGGGTTCAGTAAGAGGATTGTAATGGAGACCCCAAACAGCGAACCCTGAGAATATAGGAGATTAAATTAACAGGAAATACAAATACGTTCCTATTATATTCGTACTATGCTCTTGGTGTTCCTTCTTTATTCAGGTTCTCCTTGCGCTAGACTGGAGTGCATAGGGTGCTTCTTCAAGTGCGGGGACTGAGTAGGGGTTAAACTTAAACACACATACTGGACTTCATGGTGCCATGCTCTACGCGCCAATGCTGGAATTGAGGGCCCTGCCTCCCCTCAACCCTGAACCCTAAGCCCTTGAACTCCGCACCCTAAGCTTTACAGACCGTCAGTATTATCTTAGCACTGCATTTGTTTCATGGTTAAGTCTTTGGCATTATAGGTATTGAAAAACAGATTTCAGCAGTGTTGTTAAGAACGGCTTAGTGAAGCATCAGCCCTCTAAACCTAAGATCCTAAGCCAAACGTCTCAGACGCCAGAATTT